CACACACACACACACACACACACACACACACACACACACACACACACACACACACACACACACACACACACACACACACACCTGGGCCGGAAAGTGAACTCCCAAAGGAGGTTGGGCTTAACAGTCGATTAGGTCACACAAAGGTCACACCTATGTGTGATTAAAAAGAAAATGGCCGACCAAAATTTCAAATCCCTCTCCTCCTCCTCCTCCCCCTCTACAACACTTGTTCTTAAATTTGACCAAATGTTACAAGAATTGTGTGAAAATTCGATGTTTTGTGGTATGTTTTGGCATCAAATGATAAGAATGTCTGGTTATATTTGTCAACATAACATACATTTCTCAAACCAACGTGGTACCAGATAACAAGTATTACGATATGTATGTGTGTACTGAATTTACTCACGAAGTTCTAATTTGAGAGGCTACGGCTTGCTACACGTGGAGACACACGTATGCTAGTGGCAAATTGTTTCGTTGATACGGTTTGCTAGCATTGATTTTGTTGATACGGTTTGCTTTTTTGGTCTTCCAGGTACATGAAGTACAGGTGTCACGACTTTGATGTAAAAAGTGACATATTTGACGAACTTATACAACATTTTTGTAACACCCATCCTGAGAATGTACTAAAATTAGAGTAGTACGTTTGTCGTCACTGACGAGGCAAATTGCAATATGTGACCAAAAATCTCAAAGTTGTCCCTATAAAAAAATTGTACAAGTTGAATTTCGCTTTAATACAAATTTAAATAATAATAAACAAATGAAATCGAAAGCATCAACTCTATTTGGAATCAAACGCTCATAAACGCGTAAATTCGCATTTAACACAATTCCTTTGAACACGCACATTTTCATTTTCAAATATATACTTCATCTAAACACTGGCAATCTATGATTGACAAGATTTTTACTATATAGCGTATATATGTGATATTTTCAATGTACAGTGGTCAGACTGGCCTCACATTTGTAAGCCTTCAGTGCAGTCTTAGTATACATGTATCACAGAAATAAACAAATTCATTTCATGGGGGGTTTTAGGGGACGTTCATGGTGAAATGCTCGCTCTTCTTCTTCACATAGAATATGAAAGCCACCATTTTTTTATCTCTACGATTGACTTTAGCAATCCTAAGTTGGTCTTTCATGAGCAACTTAAGACTTTGGATCTTAACTTTACGATTGACTTGGGTAAGATTGGTTAGTGGAACGGTATGCCGATCGTAACGTCACAGGCTAAGATTGGGATTTTAGGGGTTTACGATTGGCGTAGGGCTAAGATCGGTTAGTGGAACGGGAACCAGATCGATTATTTACAGACCACTGTCATATAACTGCACAATTGCTGAGTGCGGGGTCAAATAACAAAAATACAACTACGACCATACCTCTTCGACAACACTATGGTCAGATAATACACTTAAGAATGAAAAGAAATAATCCGTTCATCGGATCAACATTTCCCCTATTCTCGTTTAACTTATTTGTTCCAACAAGCGTTCGTACTTTGGTTCATAGCAGCAGCTACCATCCTGTCATCTGTTCGGGGCGGCGGGGTAGCCTAGTGGTTAAAGCGTTCGCTCGTCACATCGAAGATCCTGGTTCGATTCCCCACGTGGGTACAATGTGTGAAACATTACTGGTGGAATATTGCTAAAAGCGGCGTAAAACCATACTAAGTCACTCACTGTTATTTGTTCATTGAATAGCGGTTTTACTCACATCACTCTGTTGCATTTACAGCTCAGTCAAGCATGTTCGGTACATATCGTAAAATACTTTTAAAATCTATCTGTCCACATCTCTTCGTATGGTTAAGTTTTCCCCTCCAAAATGGGTTTGGTTTCCTTCGACTAAAGTGAACTAAAGATAATTGTAATAAAGATTCTAAGTCGGTAGCGTTTGTTTTCTACGAGCGGTTTTCGTTTTCGATTCCATGTTGTCAATCCACACAAAAATGTTCGGCCGTTGTTTACAGCATGATTGGCTGACATTTTCTGGGGTGACACTTGAGGCCAGTGAAGTTTGTCTATTTTTTCAGAAAAATATTATTGTCGGGTTTTTTTAATTTCGTTTTTAGTTTTGTTGCTGTTGTTGTTGTTGTTGTTGTTTTGATTTGTTTTTTGCTCAGCTGCAGTGGAAGTTAGGGAAAGTGTTCTGACGTGAAATGCATCGTTTTCATTAAGACTGTTCGTTATTCTACGGATTATAAGAGTATATTATAATTTATTTGCCATTACAGTCTGTCCCTACATGCTGGGCTACAAACTACAATGGAAAGGTACAAAGTTATTATCGACCAGACATTATCGATCAAAACAAAGTGCTGGGAAGAACGTTGTGGATGTGGCCGCGACTCTCGACATCAGATATTATGTACGTTTCAATCGGTTTAATCGTCTGGTCAAGGTCGAAACATATCAATTGTAATGTATACTTGGAAAATGTGTACTGTCGCTGTCTACGGGTTAACGTTCCCACATCACGGTTTTATTCATGAAACGAATCTATGTTCTCCATATGTAAAGACACACTTTGTGGAGGCTACAATCAATATTGAATACTTATATGTGTAATAAGACATGCACCGGCGCTGAAGTATTTATCAGGAATAGTTATCATCAGGGAATCTGTGTAATCATTACATATGTAAACAAGGACCATTTTAATCATATATCTTATATGCATAATGGTGGAATGTGTATAATTGTCTGATATGCATAATGGTGGAATGTGTATAATTGTCTGATATGTATAATCATGGGATGTGTATAATTGTCTGTTATGTTTTATGGTGGAATGTGTATAATTGTCTGATATGTATAATCATGGGATGTGTATAATTGTCTTATATGTATAATGGTGGAATGTGTATAATTGTCTGATATGTATAATCATGGGATGTGTATAATTGTCTTATATGTATAATGGTGGAATGTGTATAATTGTCTGATATGTATAATCATGGGATGTGTATAATTGTCTGATATGTATAATGGTGGAATGTGTATAAATGTCTGATATGCATAATGGTGGAATGTGTGTAATTGTCTGATATGTATAATGGTGGAATATGTATAATTGTCTGATATGCATAATCATGGGATGTGTATAATTATCTGATGTGTATAATCATGGGATGTGTATAATTGTCTGTTATGTTTTATGGTGGAATGTGTATAATTGTCTGATATGTATAATGGTGGAATGTGTATAATTGTCTGATATGTATAATCATGTGATGTGTATAATTGTTTGATATGTATAATAATTGGAATGTGTATAATTGTCTGATATGCATAATGGTGGAATGTGTGTAATTGTCTGATATGTATAATCACGGGATGTGTAAAAGAGGAGAAAATGTATACTGAGAAAATATGTATAATGAGAAAGATTTTTACGGGGGAGTATGTAAAGTGAGGCATCATGTATAAACGGGAACCTGTGTACTATTGGATTATATTTAATGCCTGCATAGCTCAGGGAATGTAGATAGTATTTGATGCATTCTAAAACGTAGTTGCATCTGTGTACACACGTTCGTCCAAAGTGACACACTCAACCCACTCTGGTTCCCAAACCATGCATGTCGTGAGGACCAGTACCGTGATCATTACTCTTCAAACATGTAGGGGAACTTCGTTTTTAATTTACGATTGAAAAAAAATGGGAGATATATCGGAGTCAATCAATGTTGATATGATAATAATGCATGTTTTGAGAGTGCATCACCACTTGCACTTCCTTATGACCATAGTTGTTTGTGCAGTAATCGCTCTTGAAATATGATGTGTAATTTACATGTGTACGATTTCCATTTTCAAACACAAAACGGCTAGATAATTGGAAGATATATCGGAGTCAATCAATGTTGATATGATAATAATGAATGTTTTGGAAGTGATCACTACTTGCACTTCCTTATGACCATAGCTGGTTTGTACAGTAATCGCTCTTGAAAGATGATGTGTAATTTACATGTGTACGATTTCCATTTTCAAACAATAAAAAAAAGGCTAGAAACAAACTGTGTGATGCAAGATAATTGTCAAAATTAATGGTCTAGAGTGATTTGTCGGCCTTCTTGAAAACTTTAAAAATCAATAATGGCACCCCGAATGGGGCTACTGCGTTATGCACGTGCATCCATGTGTTATGCTTAGGGGTGATGATAAAGAGAAATGGTGGTGCGTTCATAAGATGTCTGTCTTTGAAAAGTTTGTTTCCGCTTGTACGTCCTATCCAATTTGAAAGTTCAGGTTCCCCTACTTTGTTTAAGAGTGTAGTTGACGTATGACCGTGTCCCCATTGCTTTGGTCAGCACTCTTGTTGTCTTGTCACCGGATTGTTTGGCCCAGACTCTGTTATTTACAGACTGTTGACGCATAGCTGGAATATTGTTGAATATAGCATCAAACAACAGCAGACAAATAGCAAGCTCATACACGTACCAGGGGCGGATACAGCTTTTTGAGAAAAAGGGGTGCACACTATTGAGAAAAAGGAGGGGTGCACACTCCATTTTCACCTGAGTTTCAAAGGTCATTTAACAAACTTTCAGCACATAAAGGGGTGCGCACCCCTGCCCCCCCTCCCCCACCCCTCTGGATCCGCCTATGCGTACTATGTCATTAACTGTTGACAGGAATATACTATTTCGGGTACGATTTATAAAAAATTCTGAATTTTTCAATGAATATGTTGTGATTCTTCTAAGGAGCAAACATTTGCATATATTCGCCGAAGGATTTTCGCTCATGCATATTCCCAGTAACACATACATAAGACTATTTATATGTCACCATAACTAATCAATAACTTTATTTTCATTTCCGTATGTAACTCTCTCTCTGATCAATATTGTATGCAGGACAGCATGGTACGTGACGAATGGCCCGCGATCGTACAATGCAGACGCGTTTATTCTCATCCCAGAACACGTGCCATCTGTTAACTATCTATAGCTATATCGATAACCTCAATATTACGGGTCGAAATACAATCTACAGTACAGGGCAGATATGGAGTATTTAAGCTAGCAACCTTCTAATCATCTCGTTCACGCAGCACAGACTTTTGCATGTTTTATCTGACTTATGGGAGTAAGATTGAGTAAGTACACATAAGACGATTAAACAAGCTGAACTCGTCCATCATGGCAGCCGACGATCGAGCGTTTGTGTCCGCCAGCCGGCGACAGGTGACGTTAGCGAGAGAAGCTGTCATAGCAGACGACAGTACTCGCGCAGGCGCAGACGAAACGTGGTCTGTCGTCTGCTTCACGAACTATGTGCAAAAAGTTTCGTCGTTTGTTATGGAATCGCTCGGAATGGAGACAAGCTCGGAAATGCAATTGCCTCAGTCGACGTTCAAGACGATGATGGACCAAGCTAAAAACATATGCAAGGACTACACGTATCGCCGTCTCTTAGAAAAAGATATGACAAAGAAATTGACGTTTGGGGGTTATAATTCAGTACTGTCTGAAAGCTACATTCACGCGGGACAGGTACTGGAGACAATGTACCCTCGAGTCTACACGGACGTTTCAAGGAAGATTGGCAGAACTATGAGCAGTGCGAGCATTGTGAAAGCAACTCTGAACGACGTACTGAATATACTGTTTCGTGATTCTATTACCTGGGGTAAGATTGTGTCAATGTTCGCGATCAGCAGCTCGTTCGCCGAGGAGTGCGTGCAGCAAGGGCACCCTAATTTCGTCAACGACGTCGTCAGCACGGTTGGAGGATTCGTCGTCATGCACCTCGTGGAATGGCTTGTAAAGCAAGGTGGATGGGTAAGAGAACTCGATGTATTATTTGTCTTGATCAGGCGCGTAGCAATCCACTTTTTTCTTGTAAGCCCGATAGGTTGCAATGCTTTATATTAAGATAGTATTTAGGGCTTGCCCAACCTTTTTTGCAACAATCATGTGTAAACCCGGATTTCTTTTTATAATGAGAACTACGCCCCTGTTGATGATTTTTATTGTTGTGTCAGACACAACTTTCTCGTATGTGGATAAGAACAGAAAATCGAAACAGGATCGAAACGGGTCCCGGTTTGTATAGACTAGGGTCCGTCTTTGTTTGGGCTATTTAATCAGTTACATGTACATGTTTTTATGCATTGATCTCTGTTGTTGTTTTTTAATGTAATTTAAGACATTATTCACAAGACGTTAGGGAAAGGAGTCAGTTTTAGTCAGAGTTTATGGCGATTGGGCTTTGATGTAATGGGGTGGGGATGGGTTGTTGAGGTTTGGGTAGCTTTGACCAATGAAAGAGTGAGTGAGTTTATTTTTAGACCGTACTCAGCAATATCCCACTTATATGGCGGCGGCCTGTACATAATTGAGTCTGGACCAAACAATCCAGTGATCAACAACCAATGAAAGAGTGAGTGAGTGAGTTTAGTTTTAGGCCGCACTCAGCAATATCCCACTTATATGGCGGCGGTCTGTAAATAATCGAGTCTGGACCAAACAATCCAGTGATCAACAACCAATGAAAGAGTGAGTGAGTGAGTTTAGTTTTAGGCCGCACTCAGTAATATCCCACTCATATGGCGGCGGTCTGTAAATAATTGAGTCTGGACCAAACGATCCAGTGATCAACACCCAATAAAAGAGGGACGACCCAAAACATGACAATGTCAAGAAGAAATGAACTGTAATTCATTTGTTAATTAAGTAGTGTTAACTGCCACTACAATGTCGAACGACTGAAGGAGATTGTCCAGTATAAACTGAGCAAATATTTAGAAATATCCGTTAAAGAAACAAACAAAGCTAATCGCGACCTCCCACGTTTTCTCTATCTAACAATATCAGGTACTTATAAATAACTCGCTCCCCAAACAGCAAACTGTTGTACTGTTGACGTTATCGTGAACGACCACGGAAAACAAACGTATCACGCCATCCAAGGCCACACAATGAAACCTGCATGCTGTGAAGATGACAACACTATTATCCGTTAGGTCGATAGCACGTGAACAGAAATAGATAAACACTACACCTTAATTGGTCCGTAATGACCCTCGTCCTTGATAAACGAAAGCAGGTATATTTATCGAGTCTGGGATCGGGGACTATGTGCGTAACGTAAGTCCATTTGGGCTGTTGTTATCCGATCGTATATCTATCAATATCTATGAGCAGGCTACAAGTGCCGATTGACGTTGGAATGTTTGACATAGTTTCGAACTGGTGTCAAATGTTAAGCTTGTGTAGAGAAGTTACAAGGTTGCGCAATATGCCGCGTCTACTGATTTACCTATAGCTTATAAATATGCGAGGTGACATGGAGTTCTAAATCATTGCACGTGTGTGTGCCACATGGTATCCTAATTGCGTAGATCGATGTTCGTGCTGTTCATCACCGGATTGTTTGGTCCAGGCTCGATTATTTACCGACCGACGTCACATAGCTGGAATATTGCTTAGTGCGACGTTAAACAGCAATCAAACAAACGAACGAAACGCATCCAATTAATCTGATGAAGAGGAAGCACATCCTCAGAAACATTGTGCTCCTCCAAATAAGTTAGCATCCATAAATTGTCTCCTATATGTGTATCACTGACAGATGTCGCTCAGAGACCTGATTCACGAGAACAGTTAAGCCTCATATTCTCCCCACTCCAGCCAAACAATCAAATACTCGCTCTCTGCCGTAGTGCGACTGTTAATCATTCTATGTCAGTACTGAATGCTAGTTACACAACTACCAGTTTTTAGGTCAACGTTGTTGACGACCCTCGCGTAGAAGAAGTATATGTGACAGTGTCGAATTCGTAAATACCTGCAGTGTCTGGGTTTATATACAGTCACATGCAGCAAATGTTTGTTGTTTAACGCCGCACTCAGCAATATTCCAGCTATATGGCGGAGGTCTGTAAACAATTGAATCTTGACGAGACAATCCCGTGATCAACATCATGAGCATCGATGTACGCATTTGGGATAGCCTACGATGAAATGTGTCAACCAAGTCAGCGAGCCGTTCATGTATCCGGGTGGGCAGTGGGATAGCCTTGAGGTTAAAGCGTTCGCTCGTCACGCCGAACACCAGGGTTCGATTCCCCACATGGGCACAATGTGTGAGGCCCATTTCTGTTGCGATATTACTGGATTATTGCTAAGAGTGGGGTAAAGCTAAACTCACTCACTCGGACTACATAGTACATAATCGACCAGACAATCCAGTGATAGATATTATGGGCCCGAGTACAAAGACCAAAACTGTCACCGAGCCTTACCGCCTATCTGTCGCGTCACCCCTTACTGGCTTCACGGGTTGCTAGGGACCAGGTTTAACCCTCATTCCAAACGGGTTAAATTCGTGCACTGTCTACTTCATGTCGCCTAAAGGTTTGAGGGCTGAGAGCCTCCTAGACGATAACGCAGATATGCGTGTCAAATGCATACAAAAAGTCACATGATATACTAGTAATGGCTTATTGAAACAAATAGCATTGTCTCACAAAGTAGAATATTCGATAAAAGGACTAGTTATTGGCATGCAATGTTTTCTGTGAACATGATGTTGAGAAATGAAGGCGTCGTGGTGTTGGGTCATAAATAATGGCTGACGTCAGCTGTTACCACTCAATTATTGGCGTTCATGACGTCGCGATTCAACATGAAAACATGGGAACTGAAAAGAAGTTGCCAGTGCGTGAATCAAAACAATATTTTCCAAGACTTAACTGAAATAATTTCAAATATACACATTATTTTATTCTCACTTGGTATGCATGGTGTCCTTCTTGTGTCATACTTTAAGCATAATTTAAGACAAGTGGAATCTAAGCCGTGAAAGCATAGAACCCTTTTGACAGTTATGCACGGTGAATTTTGAAAAGTGATTTATGTAACCTATGATAGCTATTAATAGTAGGGGAACTTCATTTTTAGTTACGATTGAAAAAAATGGGAGATATGTCGGTGTCAATTAATGTTGATATGATAATAATGAATGTTCTGAGAGAGCATCACCACTTGCACTTCCTTATGACCATAGTTGCTTGTACAGTAATCGCTCTTGAAAGATGATTGGTGTATGACATGAAATTTGTATGTTTACGGTTTTCATTTTCAAACAAATAAAACGGCTAGAAACAAACTCTAACAACTGTGTGATGCAAGATGATTGTCAAAATTAATAGAATGACACCCCATGCACGTGTATGGGGCTACTGCGTTATGCACGTGCATCCCATTCGTTGTGTTTAAGGGTGGTGATAAAGAGAAATGGTGGTGCGTTCATAAGATGTCTGTCTTTGAAAAGTATTTTAACGCTTATACTTCCTATCCAAACTAAAAGTTCAGATTCTCCTACTTATTTTGGAAGAGTATGTTTGGGAGAACACCCATCAGAGGTTCTCTTGCATGTCGATAGCGTGTTGAACACTGAGCAGGGCAATCGATGTAAACATCGCTATTAATTCCTAAGCATTATATACAATCAAGCAGCTAAAAGCCTAGATCAGTTACCCAGTATACAAACAGAGTAAATCTATGACTTGGGTATTCTGACACGACTGCATACTGTAGATGCTGTTAACGTATATGAAATCGTTTTGTCTCTACAGGCAATGCCATTATTACAGTTGCCCTACATCAGAATGCTGACAGTTATTTTAGTGACTTTGTGTTGTACGGAGATTATTAATGGATTACTAAACGCAACCATTTCTAACGTCTGACGATGTTTCGGTTAACAGCCCAACAAGAAACACGTTTAACGCTACTTTGAGTCAGCAAGTGTGTTTATCACTGCGGGGGACACCAGAAATGGGCTTCACACATTGTGCCCATGTGGGGAATCGAACCCGAGCCTTCAGCGTGACGAGCGAACGAACCACTAGGCTACCCCACCGCCCCAAACAACATTCCATCAGTATGAAGGCGGTGTACAGCAGATATTCGACATTATACCCATGTGGTGAATGCAACCCAGGCCTTCAGTGGTTGAACGTTTTAACCACTGGGCTACCTAACCCCCGCTTTGAATACAGCTAAGGGTGCATGGATGTTTGATGTGGAACGAAAGGTTAAATCTATAGGGGTTAAAATTGTTTACCATTTTATTCTACTCACGAGCAGCTGGATTCTGTAGAAACAAGCATCATAATCAGATATAAGTAGGGAGATTCGAACCCATTTGATAGGGTCATGAAATGGCTGATGTGATAACGGACCCGTGCAGATCTGGGTTAGAATCGGTCTTCAGCAACCCATGCTTGTCGTCGGAGGCGACTAACGGAATCGGTGGCCAGGCTCACTGACTTGATTGATGCATGTCATCGAATCCCAGTTGTGTGGATCGATGCTCATGATGTCAATCACTGGATTGTCTGGTCAAGACTCGATAATGTACACACCGCTGCCCTATAGCGGACAATTTGCTGCATGGGGCTTTAAATGGCAAAACGAAAATCACAGGGTATACAACACATCGGATACCTCGCTATACCGCTGTCACAGGGGCGGATACGGCTTTATGAGAATATGATGGGGTGCACACTTTTGAGAAGGGATGGGGGTGCACTCATCGTTTTCACCCGTTTTCACGAGAGTTTCAATGGTCATTTAATAAACTTTCAGGACATAAGGGGGTGCGCACCCCTGCACCCCCTCTGGATCCGCCTATGTGTCAGTACTTACAGCTGTTTCCGCTATGTGAGAATGTATTCGGAAACAGGCACAATGCTGACGCATTTCTGATAAAAATCTCAGTGATTTTCTTTTGTGAGTGTGACTCTGCCATGTGTGAATTTTATTCCAAAACA